ACCAAATAAAACACTGACAACAGACATCTTTGACTTGTCCTGAGCTTAAAGGAAATGCTTTTAAGGTTTCACCATTAATTACAAAGTTTGATTTAGGGTTTTAGTAGATACTCTTCATCATGATTGAAATGCACTCTCCTATGGTGGAATTACTGAGAGATTTTTATCAGTAGTTTTTAAGTTTCATGGAGTATTTTTTCTCCATCTAATGCTATATCAGGATTTCTCCTTTAATCTGTTAATATGGGAAACTACATCATTCAATTTTCTTATCTTAAACCAAGAATTTTTTTTTTTTTAAAGATTTTATTTATTTGACAGAGAGAGAGACAGTGAGAGAGGGAACACAAGCAGGGGGAGTGGGAGAGGGAGAAGCAGGCTTCCCGCTGAGCAGGGAGCCTGATGCGGGACTCGATCCCAGGACCCAGGGATCATGACCTGAGCCGAAGGCAAACGCTTAACGACTGAGCCACCCAGGTGCCCTTAAACCAAGAATTTCTAGGTCATGATTTCTAAAACTTTACTAGGTTTAGTTTGTTATTGCTTAGTTTTTTGGGTCTGCCGTCCCTCCCCGTCATTTTACAAATAATCCTGGTTTATAACTCTCCATGATGTTTAGTTCTGATAGAATAGGCTGGGAAATGTTTTTTCTTCAGTTTTCTGAAACCATTTAGATAACATGTTCCTTGAGTACCTGGTAAAAATCCAATCTGACCAACTTTTCTGCTTACATATCTTAAGTACAAAATCAATTCTGTTAATTGGTAAGATTTACTCAGGTTTTCTATTTCTCTGATTTAGTTTTTGTAAATTGTATATACATGTATGTAAATATGTATGTATACACATACATATTTCAGGAAATTGTCCATTTAGACTGTTTATAAATTTATCAGTAAAGAATTACTCTTAGTATTCTCTTATAGTCTAACACAGTTTGATTATGGAAAATTTCAAATGTGCAAATGCAGACAAAATAGTATCATAAACCCTTGTCCTCATCTCCTAGCTTTACCAGTTACTAACTCAGCCAGTCTTGAACCATATCCATCCCACATACTGAGACAAATCCCAGAGAGCATTCACATGTCAACAGTTCTGTGTGTCTTGCTAAAGACCACTTAAAATATGATCAGTTCTATTATCAAACCAACAAATAATTTCTTATCAAATAACGGTGTTCAGACTTCTGTTATGTAATGTTTCCTACTTTTATACTTTGAATCCACATGTTCATTTGACTTCACATTTCTTTTAATATAGGATTCACTGCTGCTTTTTTCCCTTTGTCATTTATTTATTGAAGAAACCCTCAGGTTTCTTTTTTTCTTTTGTTCAGGTTTTCTTCATAGTTTGTCTTGTAAGAGTTTTTAAATCTCCACTATAGTTGATTCATGACCTTTTCCATTTTTTTTTTTTTTTTTAAGATGAGAGAGACACAGAGAGAGAATGAGCAGGGGGAGGGGGCAGAGGGAGAGGGAGAAGCAGACTCCCCATTGAGCAGAGAGCCCAACGCGGGGCTTGATCCCAGGACCCTGAGATCATAACCTGAGCTGAAGGCAGCCACTTAACCGAGTGAACCACCGAGGCGCCCCCATGACCTTTTCCATTTCTAAATATTATTTAGGTCTCTGGCTAAATAAATCTTGGCAGAGGTATACCTACAGTTATCTTTTACAGAGGGCCAGCTTTTGGCTTTGTTGATTTTTTTTAAAAATATCATTTATTTCTGCTTTCACTATTACCCTTTCTTTGGGCTTCTTTGGTCATTCTTTTAACTTCTTGAGTTGAAACTTCTCATTAAATTTAAATCTTTTTCTTCTTCTAAAAGAAGCATTTATGAAAACTCCCGTATAGTACTTTTAGCTGCATCCCACACATTTTGATATGTATTTTCAATTTTATTCAGTTTTAAGTTTGTTTAAATTTCCATCTTGATGTCTTCTGTGACCTATTAATTACTAAGTGGTATATTATTAAATTACCAAACATATGGGTTATCTTTTGGTTGCTGGTTCCTGATTTAATTGTATTTCTGTCAGAGGATGCTCTGCATAATACCAAACACTGTTATATATTTTAGACTTCTGTTTTTAGTCTAGCATATGGATCAGATTTTATAAATGTTTCATGCATGCTTGTAGAGAATGCATGCATATTTTCTGGATGTTAGGAGTAAGATACCATGTCTCATCAGGCATGCTGTGTTGTTTAAATCTGATCCTTACTACTTTTCCTGTATGTCTGATTAATTACTGAGAGGTGAAATTAATTACCCACTATAATTGTGGATCTGTCAATTTTCCTCAGCAACTGTCAATTCATATTTTGTATATTGAGGCCATATTAATACATAAAATGAAAATTGTATCTTCCTTGTGAATTGGTGACATTCTTTTTTTTTAAAAATATTTTATTTATTTGACAGAAAGATAGAGAGTACAAGCTGGGGGGGCAGCAGGCAGAGGGAGAGAGAAGCAGGCTCCCCGCTGAGCAGGGAGCACAACATGGGGCTCTATCCCAGGACTCTGGGATCATGACCTGAGCTGAAGGCAGACGCTTAACCACTGAGCCACCCAGGTGCCCCAGACATTCTTGATTTCTATTTTATTTTATTTAAAGATTTTATTTATTTGACAGAGAGAGACAGTGAGAGCAGGAACACAAGCAGGGGGAGTGGGAGAGGGAGAAGCAGGCTTCCCGCTGAGCAGGGAGCCCGATGTGGGACTCGATCCCAGGACCCTGGGATCATGACCTAAGCTGAAGGCAGACGCTTAACGACTGAGCCACCCAGGCACCCTTGATTTCTATTTTAATAGCTGTATCTCTTTTGGTATTTGTCTATTATTTCTTTCCTGTTTTCTTATTTTCAAAATTTCCCATAGTTATCAGAATAAACTTGGATTTTAATTGTAGCATTTGGTCCATTTATTATTTTTGCCCAGAAATATCTTAATTTTGCCCACATTCTAAAATGATAGTTGAGTACTGAATTTTAGATTGGCAGTTATTTATTTTTTTTCTTAGCACTTTGAAGACATTACTACTCTATTGTCTTCTAGCTTCTATTCTGCTATTAATGATTCTCATAGCTCTCTTTTTTCTCTAGGTATTTTAAAGATTTTCTCATTGTCTGTCGTGGCCAATGTAGCGAGGTGTCAATACAAACTTTTTTCTTGCTTTGGGAATCACTCTGTGTCAATGTTTTTTGTCAGCCTGAACATTTTCTTGCTAAACTGCCACTACCTCTCCCTGACCCCCTGAGCTATATTCTGGGTAATTTTCTCAGATCTATCCTTTAATAACTATACCTTTTACTTGAGGAAGTTCTACTTGGTTATTTTTGAAGTGTACCCAGTCATTTTTTCTTTTTCGTCTTTTTGATTCTTTCTCGTCAGATAATTAAAACACTTTTTAGGCATCTAAGAAACTTCTTGCTGTTATGTTTGCTAATTCACTCATGATGGGTTGTTTGCTTATGTTTTCTAATTTTGAGTTGTGAGCTTACCTTCAGCAGTGTCTTTCTGATGGCAATCCTACAGCCTCTCTGGTTATTCTGAAGATTTATTTGTGATAGAGAGAGAGAGCACAAGCAGGGGGAGCAGCAGAGGGAGAGCGAGAAGCAGGCTCCCCCGCTGAGCAATGAGCCAGATTCAGGACTCGATCCCAGGACCCTGGGATCATGACCTGAGCCGAAGGCAGACGCTTAACCAACTGAGCCACCCAGGCGTCCCTCTGGGGTTATTCTGTATTTATTTTTGCCAGGTGTCTAAAAAGATTTTTGAGGCCAGGACCATTTTGTTAATTTTTAGACTAAGTGGTTCCTGGATTGGGCATGGAATGTAAATTACATACATCCCAAACTCTAATAAGAACAGGTTTCTGGGTAAAAGTTTTAGGAGAGACCCCAGCCTTATCCTGAGACAGCCCAGAAAGATAAGCTTCTTCACTGTCAACCTGTGTTAGTGGAAGAGGTTTCTAATCTACCATTTCATACCGATTATATTTCCCTTTAAGGGTTCCAGTTTTATGTGAGGGATCTCACAAAGGTCACACAAACCCCAGGCCTTTTCTGTCTCACTGTGGTAATACCACGCTCCTGGCAGGTCTACTGGTGAGTAGTTGGAGGGTGCTGAAATCAGCAAGAGGCATTTATACCATCACAATTTCAGTTTTCAGTTTATTGCTCTGGTTTATAGTTCTCTCTCTTCATTTCTAGTCCATAAGAATTATTATTTTTTTTTTTAGAAATCTTACCTGTACTTTTAAAAGGGTATCTGTTATGTATTACCCAATGTTTCCAGGTGTTTTGTAACAGTCAGGTTTTCACATTATCTAATCTATCTTATTACCATAACTCTAAATGTGATTTTCATAATTCTTTAATGGTTTGTTCTCTTATCCTCACTTTCTCTTTTCACATATATCCACATTAAATATAATTTTCACTGTGAATATTCCTAGAAGTATAAATTAAAAGCAAAAAGCAAAAGTAGTCAGCAACCAATCTCAATCTGTCAGAGTTATTTAAAAACATCCTTCCCTGCAGTACTTTCCAATAAAAGCTCTACATCATTAGCGGAGGACGGCATGGAAAGAACACAGAAGCAAGACTCACTCTATTTGTGTTTTGGTTTGGACACTGCCATGACCAACTCTGAGAACTCTGACAAGACACTTAAACCCCTTGTGGTCTATTTTTCCTCCTCATAGAGTTTTTTATGAATTGATCATCATATGGATCAATACTTGTACCCTCGATTTAGGAATACACAGATTTTAAGAATCTAAATGTTTCTGTGATATTCCTGGAACTATATTGCAGTTACTTAACTATAACAATGCTGAGATCTTAGATGGCCAAACCTGATTGAAATAAAATTAGTTTTTAAAAAGTTGCAGTATCAGTTTATATAATAGCAAGTATCTGCATCAATCAAAACAATACATTCTGCTAATCAATTATGTTCTTCTCTAAAGTGACTCAAAAATAATAATACCTTGGCTTTTGGAGTAGCCTTAATTGTCCATATGCAATCAACTGCTTGGCCAGGTTTTGTTTTTTCTTCTTGTTCTACCTGACTAGAACGCACTATTCCATCAGCTCCCGAGAGCTCAAATTGGCAATCTAGAAAGAATAGATGAATGATGTTCAAAGGAAAATAAGATTGAACAAAATGCTATGAGGAAAAAGAGGTGATATACTAAACCTGGGATGGGATTTAAAATACCTCCTAGGTAAGTAAAGTCTGGATCTGTAATAGAAAAAAGAAGAAAGTAATTGGCATTGAGATAGTTTAGAGTTATGTTAAGGTTTCATGTCTTAAGTTATGTCTAATCCTTCATTTAATAGCAAAGCAAGAGAAAGCTTTCATTGGTGTAGACTACAGAGCACTGTTCCCTCCCCTCTGCCCCGGGCATGTTTAGGTGCTTATTTACAGGAACAATGTTTTTTAAAACGGTAATGTTTATACTATTGATCCCATCATGAATAACTTATTTATGCCACCTGAAAACTTGCAACCCTCTGTCAATAGCAATAGCTAGTCCATTAATGGATGGATGAATAAACATAATGTAGTATACACAACACAGTGGAATATTATTCAGTCTAACAAAGAAATAAAATTCTGATATATGCTATACAACATGGATAAACCCTGAAACATTACACTAAGTGAGATAAGCCAGACACTAAAGGACAAATATTAACATTGTATGATTCCATTTATTGAGGTTCCTAGATTAGTCAAATTCATACAGACAGTAAGTATCAGAAGCTGGAGAAAAGGGGGAATGGGCAGTTCGTATTTAATGGACACAGGGTTTCAGCTTGTGTTAACAAAAAAGTTCTAGAAATGGATGGTGGTGACGATTACACAACACTGTAAATGTACTTAACATGCACTCGTACACTTAAAAAGGATTAAAATGGTGAATTTTATGTTATTTGTAATTCATCACACACACACACACACACACACACACACTAGTAGCTAGTAAGTGGTGTTTTCAAAGTGGCAGGGAAAAAATGACCAGGTGATATACAGGATATTCTGTCCAGTGAAGTAGTTCATAGAAGACCAAGGACTAATAGTTCATATCAAAATAACTGATTTCAGTAAATTGGTCAGGTATTTGATTTTTATGAACTAAATCAATTAACTGAAATGATACTTTAGTGTCAAAATGATGTTAAAAACCCTTATATATGAATCAGATCTTTGTAAACTAGTTTGACTACCTGAAAGAAAAAAAACAGACATCAAAAACAATGCTCTTGAGTACTTTTTTTAAGTATTAAAAATCAGGCTTTTTAATTACATAGAGACTCTTGAAGAAAAGTAGCTCTTTTTCTATTAGTTTATGTATCATGAGAGCAATTTTATACGGATTATGGTTAAAATATAGACAAATTATAATAAAACACTTAGGATTTCTAGACATATTACCTTTCATTTGCATTTTATAGTACTTCAGAGTTTCTGCATACATTATGCTTAGTATCATGCTAATTAGAGCAATATCAGGAAAACTATGTAATATTCCGCTTTGAAGATGAGGAAACTGAATGAGAGAGATTATGACTTTCTTAGGCCATATTTACAATGGCAAAGCCAGGACTAGATTGCAATTCTCCAGACAATTTTTCTTACCCTACCATATTGCCTTTATAATGTGGGTGAGGATTCCACAGTTTTACCACTAAAAAAAAAAAAAAAAAAAAAATCAAAATAAATAGGTAATGCATAACTGGCTAATTATGGCTGTGTCTAGTTATTTCAAATCATACTTATAAAATAAATTTTGTCTAGGGATCAGTAAATCTAGAAGAAGACTACTACTACTAATGAGAAGATAGTATATTTTAAAGATTTTAGTTATTTATTTATTTTAGAGAGAGTGAGAGTGCACACATGCATGCCTGAGGCAGGCAGGTGGGGGGAACAGAGGGAGAGAGAACCTGAAGCCCACTCCATGCTGAGCGTGGAGACCGATGTGGGGCTGGATCTCACAATCGAGATCATGACCTGAGCAGGAATCAAAGAGTTGGACACTTAACTGACTGAGCCACCCAGGAGCCCCAAGAAATTAGTATATTTTAAATTAAATTATCTAAATTTCTGGTGCTATCTGTTGAGGATAGAGGACTCTTAATGGATTGCTACTTCCTGGAAGTAACTGCAATAATTCTGGAAATTTTAATGCAATGACAACATTCTAGAACTATAGTCTACACATGAAGGAATTCTGATTCATTGGCAGGTAGCTCCTATGACTTTACCCCACTGCTGTTTAATTTAATATGTCTTTGACATTTCTCTACAAAAGACCTGAAATGTTGTCCCCTTTCGGCAAGGTTGGTTTATTAAGTTAAAAGAGGCAAGTCTCTGCGATGTATTCTCAATTAAGCTAAAAAATTTCCCCCCTACTTTTTTTAATATGATAACTATGCAGAAAGTATCTGGAATTAAAAACAATTTTAACAAGAATTGAACATCCAGTTAAATACAATAAACTGTGTACTGAAATAGGTTTTGCATGCTAAAGATTGAGATATTTTAAATTAGCAATTTTTTCATTCTGGCAATTTGGCATATATAGGTCCTATCTGAACTTTCAAATTAAGTTTTTTGGCAACTCTAATTTTTAAAAATTTATTTTTATTGTAGTAAAATATATGTATGACATATACATATACAACCACTATCCACTTAAGCAAAAATTAAAAACACAAATTTTACTATGATTCAGCAATTGTGCTCCTTGGTATTTATGCAAATAAGTGAAAAAGTTGTCCACGAAAAAACCTGCATATGGATGGTTATAGCAAGTTTATCTGTAATTGCTAAAACTTGGGAGCAACCAAGATACCCTTCAACAGAATGGATATACTATTGTACATACATACAACAAAGTATTATTCAATATTAAAAAGAAATGAGCTGTCAAACCATGAAAAAACACAGAGGAAACTTAAGTACATATTATTGTGTAAAAGAAGCCCGTCTGGAAAGGCTACAAATTGTATGATTTCAACAATATGACGTTCTGGAAAGGGCAAAACTACAGAGACAGCAAGATCTTGCTTGCCAAGAGTTAGGGATAAATAGAGTCCAGAGGATTTTTAGGGTAGTGGAAATACTTGATATGATATTGTAATGGTGGACACAAGTCATCCTACATTTGTCCAAACACACAGAACACACAACACCAACAATGAACCCTAATGTAAACTATGAACTTTGGGGGATGATGTGTCAGTGTGGGTTCATCAACTGTAACAAATGTACCACTCTGGAACAGGATGCTGATTTTGGAAGGCAGCTGTGTTTGTGCAGGGTTGGAGATACATGGTAACTCTGTACTTTCTGCTTAGTTTTGCTGGGAACCTAAAACTGTTCTAAATAAATAAAGTCTATTAGATAAACTTTACTTTCTAAAATGTTATCCTTTTGGCATTGAGGACATAAATACTGAAACAACACTTAAAAATTCCCATGTTTGTTAAAAAAAAAAAGAAAAAATTCCCATGTTTACTGACAAGAAAAAAAAAGCTGATTATGTTGTTCAGGCAAAAAAACAGGTAATATAGATGTATGCCATCAGTTATGTAAAACAAAATCAATAGATACAGAAAAACATCTGAAGGGATACATACCAAATCGTTAACAGTGGTTTTTTATATATAGGATGATAAGATTATGGATATTTTCTTTTCATTTGGATTTTTTTTAATTAACAAATTACTTACATGAAAACAAATAAAAGCAAAGAGATGACATAATTGGTACACTAAGTTATTTTTTCATCTTGTTAGTCTATAAGTTGTTTGACGACAGGAGCAATAACATTAGGGATATGCACGGTTTTACACCAGAGAGTACTGCAAGTCTCAAAGTGTTCACACATACCACAGGGCAGGGTAAGACAGTCAGAGTGGGCTGAATGGAGACCCTAATCCAAATCCTCAGAACCTGTATTACTTTATGTGGGTAAAAAAAAAAAAAAAAGTGACAATTACATTACAAAACAAAAGATGGGATTAGTTAAGGATTCTGAGAGGGGAATGTGAAGACGGAGGCAGGGACTACAGTGATGTGGCCACAAATCCAGGAATTCTGGGGAAGTCCCCAGGAGCTAGAAGAGGTGAGCAATGGATTCTCCCCTAGAGTTCCCAGAAGAAATGTGGCCCTGCTGGGTTTTCTGCCCTCCAGAACTCTCAGAGAATAAATTTCTATTGTTTTCAGCTGCTAAATTTGTAGTTCGTTAAGGCAGCCTTAGGAAAGTAATACATCAGGTATTCCCATTTTACCAACAGCAACCCTCAGGTGCAATTGTGCTGAATAGTCTTATAGCTATCAGGTAACAGAACGGATTAGAACCCAGATCTTTTGCCTCCAAGTGCACAGCAGTACTTTTTCTATTACTCAATATTTTCTAGAGCTTACTTATTCAAATGAGTGGTAATTCAAGCATTCCAATGGAAAATCCCACTCAACTCCTGCCAAAATAATTTTGGTAAGGATTATGAAAATAAGACAATTTGCTGAATTATCTTTTAAAATATATTTATCTTGATGTTTTTAAGCCTTGCTATACATTATAAAACATAAAGAAATCTAAGAAAAATGGGATGCCATCTATGAAATGCTTCAAAATTCAAGTGATACCATTCTATTTCCAATTTTTGGTTTTATTTATTCACGAAGTGATTTCCCTTTGGCCTTGCTAATTTCTTTAAAACCTTGATTTGATTAACTTGACTAAATTCTCTCTTTTCTAGACATAAGATTCTAAAACCAGAGTGAGACCCAGTGAAAAAAAGACAACTTCATTACCTGGAATAAATGAATATTTTGCTCGAAATCCCAGTCCTTCAAGTTCTTCATCAGAACTAAACTTAATCCACATGAATCTCCCTGTTGATCTAATTAGTGGAGGGCTTTTCACACCACAGTAACGATCTATAAGTGGAGAGAAACCAAATGGCCCATCTCGAACCTCCAAGTGGTCAAATCGACATTCAAATGATGGTTCTATATAATAATGTTCATCAAAGGTCAGCTCTATTCTTTGACGTGGAGCAGCTAGAAAATAAAAGCAAGCAAATGAAGGCAACACAAAGAAAAGCATAAATGTCCTGACACAAGTAGGGAAAGTAAAACAACTGCTGTTACTGTTTCACAGATGAGAATCATGAGGACTATTACATATAAAATTCAGAATTAATGTTATATTATATATCAATAATAACAATGCTGCTCTGCAGGACTACAGTGATCTTTCCCTTTGGAATATGCTGTTTATTAAATTAGTTAAATGTACTTAATTAAAATTAGACTAGAAAAGCTAATGCTTAGTTCATGAGATACAATGAATAGAAAAACAGAAGAAATGACAAGAACTAATGTAACTATGGACATAAATCTGCATAAAGCATGATAAGAGACGCCAGTAAGTCTGAGTTTGTTTGTTTGTTTCAAGTTTCTTATTAGAGAAATTTCTCATCTATACTGACGCATCTGGTTGAATTGTATTTTAGGAGATTCAAAATTCCTAGAAAATTTCAACTATTATTTTGTTAATGTGTTCAATATTCAATATAATTACTAGAGTTTAATTCAAATACGTGTTTAAATTTTGTTCAAACTGGCTTAAACTGGGCATCTTACCAACATACTTAGTTTTATAATAAAATTAAAATTCGTCCATTAAAAGACAGAAATTGGTCAAATACCTTCCAAAACGTAGATACACTCCTTGTTTGGTGGATAGGAGTCAGGATAATTTGGTGAAGCAAAATGACCTCCATTGCTGGTTCGAACCCAAATGCCACACTGGGTTGCAGGAATATGCTTGATTCCAATATTTTGTCCATCTTAGGGAAAAACGGCATTTAAAACATGAATTACAGCAGAAGAGAACAGCCTTCTTCTCTTTTCCCCACAATTTAGCCAAACAATTGCCCACTCTAGGTCACACAGATAGTGTATATAATTTTGCAAGAACCACTGCCAAGTTTAGCGCAACAAATTGAATACAGCAGAAGAGACAGAAAGGTAAAATTGTATGCTGTGCTGGTGGGAAGAACTTGCTGTTAGACAAGTTTGCCCTGTAGGAGAGCAGGGAAATAAAATGCTTAGATTTTACAAGGGCAAAACCATGTGGGAGAATCTGATAAATCAGTGCAACTATAAAATTCAGTTCTGACATAAAAATAAAAGGATCCCAGGGGTTTATCTCTGGTATGGTACCTCTATATTTAGTTTAACACAAAAGCCAAATATGATCCAAAGATTACAAAGGATTTTAGTTAAAGACTGTAGATTGAACACATGCATTTAGTTCTCTCTCAAACTCCACCAACAGTTCCGGATTTTTTAAGGGCAAAAATAAACCCCTAAAGAGGCACAAAGAGGTAGGTGCAATCACAACAACTGGCAGTACTTGATGAGCAGGACAGGGCATGACAGGTGGTGGTGAAATTGTCCTTTCTAAAAACATGAGGCCTGGCTAAGAGTTATTTAGAATCAATCTGATTTCTTTTTCTTTTTTTTTTTTTTAGAATCAATCTGATTTCTAATACCCTCCCCTGCTCTACAAATCTAGGTAGCTGCTGCTGTCACCACATCGGAAAATGAGGTGATTCCTTTGCAGAAGATAAAGCAAGGTTCCTGGACTAGGAGACACTGGGCACAGCTGAGGGTGACCATACCAACCCGCAAACAAGGAGACTAGGGAATGGTAACAGTGAATGGCATTCCTGGCCTCTTCCCCCACTCAACTCCTTTAAAGCCTCTAGGTAAGATGCAGAACCTCTAAGCAGGACATGGAAAGCTTCCTGTCTGGGGGCTCTCAACAGTCCAGAGGAGAGCGCCAGCAGTGCAGACTCAGGAATTCCCCAGTGCTAGGTCACAGAAAACAAGTCCTTCTACACCTGCAGACAGCTAATCATCAGATTTCAGTGCTCCACTCATAAATAACAGTAGACAGTCAAGGAGCACCAGATATTTGAGGAAAGCCTCTAATATGAACAATGAATAAAAAACAAGAAGAAAGCAAATCTGAACAAAGATTATATTAAAAAAAAACCCCAAAACCAAAAAATTAAAACAAAACTGTCATTTAATTCCCTTAGAGAAAAAGAGAGTGTATCTATAAAACACGAACAAGGATACTTTAGAATACTCAGAAAACAAAAATTTTCTAAAAATAGAAGAAATGAAAAATTAGTAGAAATTTTAAAGCAGAGGACCGCGAAGTGTAGCTCTGGCCAAATCTGACCTGTGGCCTGTTACTGTAACGAAAGTTTACAACGGAACACATCCATGTCCATTCTTGTGCCTATGGTCCATAGCTGCTCTCATGGTACAACAGCAAAAGTGAGTCGTTGCTCCTGAGACTGCAAGGCCTGCAAAATCTTAAATATTTACTGTCTGGCCCTTTACAGGAGAAAGTTTTCCCATTCCTGGCTTAGACGGTAAAGTTGGGGAAGTCTCAATAGAGACTGAGAAGAAAAGAGTAGAAAGACAGATGGAAAATAGAACAACCACCACCACAAATCTATCCCATAACCAAACAGTTTTTAAAGGATAAAACAGAAAAAAATAGAGAAAAGGGAATTTAAAAACTTAAACAAGGAAAAAAGGAAATAAAAATTTCCTAAACTGAAGGACAAAATTTTCATATGGAAAAAGCTCCGTGAGTGACTTAAATTCTGAAAACAGATGTGACCAGAATTACGTATGACAGAACTACACTGGAACAGGTGGTACAGAAGGAAAGTAATAGAATACTGGGGTATAGTCAGGGGTAGAATGTAGCATGAAAGAGCTAAATTTTCATGTTCCACGGCGGGAAATCACTGTCTAATATGTAAACCTGAAATATTAAGAAGTAACAGTATAACATTATTTAGAAATATGCAGGGAAATACCAAAAGATTCAGCTAAAATTCTGGTTATCTCCATGGAGAAGGAAGTAGAGTAGCAGAGGATGGAAAACTACTTTTTCATAATTAACTTTTTAGAATGCTTTGATTTTTGTCATGTGTATGTATAACTTAGATGAAAATAAGAAGTAAATCAGTAAATGTTCTAAACTCTGACATGAAAATCTGGTTTGAAAAGCACACTAGCTTATCTTCTTTCATAAACAAGGACAATCAGAACAGGTCCACAGGGCTTTGAATAAGACACTGATGGAAATATTTCACTTGTCTACATTGAAAAAAAGGATTTTTTTTTTGCTAAGTGATAAAGCATGAATCTCATTTAAGTTTTGGACATAATCCAGAGTGCTAGGAGCTACTAGTGATGCCCATTTAAAAAATTTATCAGGGCAAGATTTATGTTGACAATTTACTCAGTTAACTGCAAGTGAACTCAGTAAAACTGAGGCTGATAGGTTGACAGAAAGCCTTAGGTCACTGGAACACCCCAGAGGGATTACGGAAATAGTATTCAAAAGTTGCAATTCTTTCCAATAAGCCATCCCACTCACTGTCCTGAATATGTGATAAGTTATCACTTTAAGTACTTTACCTTGGGTCTTTTGGGCCACAGCAATCCCTTCGACTACAAGTATTGTTATTAATAACACTAGAGAAATAATAGAAAAGAAAAGTTAAAAAACTGAATCTATATTACATTTTACTAAATCTATAAGGAAAATCAGATGATAAAAAAGATTAAGGCTGCTATTTCTTACTAACATTCACTCTCAAGATTTTTAAAGGTTAAATGTCATGTTCTGATTTACTATTTGACACTTAAAAGACAACCCAAGGAAAAACACAATTGATACCGTACTCATTCATACAAGCACTAACAGTATATGGCATTTAAAGCATTTTTCAATTTATGGTAGATTAAAAACACGCAACAAACTTTGTTGACCTCAATTATGCTATATTTACTGTACTCCATCTTAAAGACTTTACATGTATTATATGGCTAGCTCTACAATGTATTATGCCAGTAAAAGTTCAATTAGCTTATCTGACTTGTGAGAGCATTTATAACAAAGACAGAAGTAAGGGGGCAGCAGTCTCCCAGAAATCAAATCAAGACGTTTTATAGTTGTGCAGTACTATGCGGTGTCCTGCATGGACAGTTACAAAAGCCAGCATATTTAGAAATGAAGCTTTTTTCCCCCAAGTTGAACATTTCTGAGACCCAGTCAATAACATATTGAATTGTTTTGTGTATGTATGTATTTTGATGATTCTTTTAAACATTTTATTTTTATGAATGGTGCAGACATCTTTCACTCTCCTTTTCAATGGAAATCACAGTGTGAACTGGAGTTTTTATTATTCATTCAGTCAATAAGCACTGACAGAGTACCTACTGTACCAAAGGAGAGCAGGCACCAAGGAAACACAGACGTTGGGGGCGGGGGGGTGGATACAGCAAAACAGTTAAGAGTATGGACTTCATGAGTCAGGTGGATCCAGGCTGGAGTTCGAGTTTTGCTGTGTACCAGCTGTGAGGCCTTTGTACCTCTCAGTTTACTTAATTGTAAAATGAGGATGTTGTCCCAGTAGCACCAACCTCATAAGGCTGTTGAGAAGATTAAATGAGATGACGATGCACACAGTACTTGTTATGTGCTAGGCGTTCTGCTAAATAAATGATAGCAAACTACCATCCTTAAGGAGCCAATCTACTGTCAAAAAGAATTTACAATACAAGGTGAACAGAAGTTTAATAGGAGTTATACAGAAAGCATAACGGAAGCGGACGGGAACCTTTCATTCTGCTGGGGGTTAAGAGGAATAGAGTGAGGAAAATTCCAGAAGAGAAGGTATATTCTATTTGGATGCTATGGGACTTCTACCAAGGATACTGAGAAAGAAACAGCTTACACAAAAATATGGAAGAGCACGATCTGCGGAGGGTTAGCAAATTCTGAGTACCATAGTAGGGTCAGCACAAGGAGGGGAATAGTGGTGGATCAGGTGAGAAACAGAATGAGGTCTGATTGTAAAAAGTCTTGACTGTCATGCTAAAGAGTTTGGACTTTTGACTATAATGAGAAATCATTTTCAGCTGTTATTTTTTAAAATTTTATCTATCTATATTATGGGGGGGAGGGGGAGAGGGAAAGAGAGACTCTTAAGCAGGCTCCACGCTTTTAAACAACCCTGAGATCATGACCTGAGCTGAAACCAAGAGTTGGACACCTCACCAGCTGGGCCACCCAGGCACCCCTCATTTTGGGTTTTTAAATTAGAGAATGATATTAACACATCTGTGTTTTAGATCAATAATCCTGATGGTTTCATGGAGTCTAAACTTTCAAAGAGAAGAGAAAAAGCCATTCAGGAAGCAAAGCAGTGGTACTGGAAATGGAAAGGAGGAGAGATTTATAACATGATTCAGATGTAGAGTTAGCTGCAAATGGTGATTTATATGATGAATGCAGTGAGAGAAATGTGGGCATTGAAGAGGATGTTAGTTAAGTGATTGGCAGATAATCATACCATTGTTCAAGCAATAGCATATGCTGAGTATCTACTCTCCAAGTCACCAATATAAAAAGATAATTCTTGCCATTCAGTTGTTTACATTTTACAATCTAATCACCGACATCTTCCTGTTTAGCTTCCTGTATCCTTGTTGAGCTTTGTCTCCTGTCTCCTCTCAACACTTTTCACTTCCCCTTCCCTTTCCCTGGTTGCTAGTAGTGTTGAAGACCTCATGTTATATAGGAACAATTCCCCCTTCAAACCCTTCACAACTTTGCACTGGATCAGAGTTTGAGGAATGGAGAAATGAAACATGTTTTGTTTTTATTTTTTTTTAAAAACAATATTTATGATCAAAAAGAAAAACCTAGAGTAATATTAGGTATCTGACAATTCAGCGAATAACACATCCATTCGTATCAATTTATCTTGTTAGAGGACACTATTTCCCAAGGCGTATCATTCAGATGATACACAACTGATCAAAATTTTGTGCTCAGTATACCTTTCCTCCCGAATCATAGGAATAACAATTTACTAGTTTTCACATTTATAATTCACAGTATATAAGTAACACAAAACCAGGCAGACAGGGCAAGTAACAAACCAACAAACTGAAACCAGGAGAGCAACAGTAAAACTATAGCAAAAGGATGAACAGTGCCAGTAAAATTACATAATGATCAATAAAATTTGTCTATGTAAAATATCTGACTTAAGAAATTTACAGAGTGTGCAACTATGGTAGATAATTTTAAAAATCAAGTTATAAGCCCAAATAAACCTATTATTCTTTTCTACTTTATTTAGAGGGTTGGTCACAATTTTCTTTTCCCCCAAATATTTAAAAAAACTATTCACAACTCAATCAAATGAGCTGTACTACTGCATATAAAAATTTTATATAAATAGGGTGAATCTGCATAACAATCAGGGATAGAAATATTTAGTGATACATTTGTGACTATTAATCATTCTAAATTCTATATCATAATAAATATAGCTTCCTTCTAGTTGTATAATAGGATCTTTGCAAATTGCTTGTTATAACCAGGCTCAGATATATTTTTATTTTTTTTAAGATTTTATTTATTTATTTGACAGAGAGAGACACAGTGAGAGAGGGAACACAAGCAGGGGGAGTGGGAGAGGGAGAAGCAGGCCTCCCGCAGAGCAGGGAGCCCGATGCGGGGCTCGATCCCAGGACCCTGGGATCATGACCTGAGCCGAAGGCAGCCGCCTAATGACTGAGCCACCCAGGTTCAGATATTAAACTCCATTAATGCCAAACACTGGAATTATTTAGTACACGAAGCAGGTGCTGTGGTGCTTTGTTCTGTCTTTGGTTCCAACCACGTGCCACTATTCCCTTCCTCCTCTTACCAAAAGGATCAATAATTTCTCAAATCCAGAAATACCACACATTTTGAATTCAAAGATAATGTACCCAAGAAGGCACTAATTCTTTAAGGTAGAAATCCATGCCAAAACAAAAATTCTAAACTCCTTAACCATACCGTTTAGTTATATAGAGAACTGCTTGTGATTTGATGCTTAAAAAGGGAGTGCCCACCCACCGTTTATGCCCATATATCTGGTTCTGGAGTTTAGCTGAGGCCTCGTAATAATGTGTGTACAGCCTGGGTGGCTCAGTTGTAAGCGATGACTCTTGATTTTCGCTCAGGTCATGATCTCAGGGTAGTGAGACTGAGCCTGGCCATGAGACCGTGTGGAGCACTGTACTGGGCTCCATGCTGGATTCTCTCTCCCACTCCCTCTGTCTCTCCATACACCCCCTGCCCTCTCTTAAAAAAAATTTTTTTTAAATGAAGATTCACATGATAAAGACAGATGCTGTTCAAGGTGCTATATACAAGTTCTCAATGCTACTCCTTTTACCCTGAATCACTGTCATATTAGCTCTACGAAGAGTCTTCTCCCCAGGCCTTCTAGTTTAAAGGCCTTACCTTCCACTGTAAAAATCAAGATCAAATTTATTCTTTCTACTGTTAATAGTGGAAACTCTGGCCAATGCAATCAATACTGGAAAGGAGACAAAATTATTATTTATAGATAATGTTACTTAAAACCTAGAAGTCCCAAGATAATTACCTGGAAAACTATTATACCTATTAAGAGAAAAGAGTAATACTAAAATAAATTAAACAAGTAAATAAATTTAAGACAATGGAGAAACAATATGTTTTGGATAATAAAACAACATACAGGTAACAATTCTTCCCAGTAAGTCATATGTTTAATTATATTTTAATCAAAATCTTAGTTTTCTGGGGGACTAAAAATTGCTGATGCTCATCTTCAAGACTTTTGAATTTTTTAAATTTATTTTTATTTTTTTTAAAGAAGATTTTATTTATTTATTTGACAGAGAGAGAGAAACACAGCGAGAGAGGGAACACAAGCAGGGGGAGTGGGAGAGGGAGAAGCAGGCTCCCCGCTGAGCAGGGAGCCCATTGCGGGGCTCGATCCCAGGACCCCGGGATCATGACCTGGGCCGAAGGCAGATGCTTAATGACTGAGCCACCCAGGTGCCCCTTGAAGACTTTTTTATATTGGCCAAGGGAAATTAAAAAATAAAAAGACATAAAATACATAAAAACAATATATACTTATTGTAAAGCTACAGTAATTCAAAATGTAGCAATGGTATAGAAAGAAATAGGTGATCTGTCAACAAACATATCTAGCTCCCACTGTATTACAGGCAGTGGGGTCAGTCCTTGAGGCTACAGCAATGAACCAAGCAGCCTTGGTCCTTATTCTCAAGGAGCTTAAAGATAAGAAGATGGAAGAAAAGAAAAAGCTCAAGAAGTAGACATAGATAGTCCAGAATTTATTTTATGTATGGTATTTGAAACTCTCAGTGAAAGAACAGGTTTAATAAATGATTCTGGGATAACTCGATAATTATTTGGGAAAAAAAGCAGATCCCTACCTTCAAGATAAATAGAAAAATACCAGATTGAAAAAACAAAAAGGTGAATTACGTAGGTACCCTTTTTCAGTGGAGAACACCTTCACTTACTAAAGACAAACAAATAAAAACTACAAATAACTGAGAAAAAAAGAATTTGCTACCAGAAAAATGTGCCAAAAACCAAAACAATA